AATGCACCACATGATGTCCTATCCTGTTGTTTTGGATGCTTGACAGTGTCACATGTCCAACGCGAGACATTGCACTCCTTCCTCATCATAAATACCCTGTAAGTATAGATATATTCATAAGAACAATTTTATATGACTTTCATACTTCAGTAAAAAAATCTTTTTTAACCATACCTTGTGATTTGATTAGATCAGATTTAAATTAGATTCAACTTTATTGTCATTACACAGGTACAGGTAGAAGGCAACGAAATGCAGTGTAGGTCTAACCAGAAGTGCAATAGCAGCAATTCAATTCAGTTTATTTCTATAGTCCCAATTTACAACACAAGCCATCTCAAGGCACTTTACAGTTCAACCAGTTCAACCAGCAAGCATTTCTTGATTTCTTGTTTTGATTCCCCCAGTGCATCCAAGAACAAAAACCTTTTTTTCTTGTGGATAGATCACCTAGAAAGTTCATTTGACATCATTTATGTGGTTTTTGTTTATGAGATAAATATGCTAATTAATGTTTTTAAAGTTTATAAAAAAAGATTTATTACCACTAAAGTCCAGTGGTGTTGATTGTTTATTGCCAGAATTATTTCAGAATTCATTGGGTTCATCTGTGAATGATAACAAATGAATTAAACATTTTTCTTATCAAGAACAAAGCATGTTTTGTAAGAGCATAGGGCTTTGAATCCTGAGGTTGTGAGTTCGATCCCCCACTCCCACAGACTGCCACTCTGGGTCCCTGAGCAAGACCCTTAGCCCCACACTGCTCCCCAGACGCCGCACAATGGCAGCCCACTGCTCCCCAAGGGGAGGGGTTAAATTTCACTCTGGGATTATTAGAGTATATAAAATACAATAGATAGTTAGACAGCACTCACCTTTGAATGGTCCCATTCATTTTTCAACCAACCCATTTGTTTGGGGATGGTAGGGGGGAACACAGACTTTGTTTGATATTGAGTACTTTGCACACGTCTTGATTTATCTGAACATTTATAAACAAATAGCTCTGACAAAATAGCCTGCATATTAAAACAACACATAGAACCTAATAAGTGTCATGGTGGACATTCGTAGTGTTACATTTCTCTAAGAGAGAAATATTTACAGAATTTATAAATTCTCTTCCTTGGCCTGTCAAAATCCTTTTTGGGGCTTCAAACTGATGCACAAACTTAACTATGCATTCCGTAACTTCAGGTGCAGATTTAGTCTTCAGTGGATATGCCTGTGGCCACTTAGTGAAGTAGTCAATCATGACACAAATATACTTGTGTCCAGAATTGGTTTCAGCAAGTTTTCCAATGAGGTCCATCCCAATTAATTCAAAGGGATGGGAAACCTGAAATGAAAGTTTTAATAGATTAACAATTTTCTCAAGCAGTTTTTAGTTAAGCTACAACAATAATTGAATTCAATTCAGTTTATTTCTATAGCGCCAAATTCACAACACATGTCATCTCAGGTCACTTTCCAGTTCACCAGATCACCCAGTCAAATTGGTTCAAAGTTTTCTATCTAAGGAAAACCAGCTTATTGCATCGACTCATTGACTCTTCAGCAATCCCTCACACTAAGCATGCTTGTAGCGACAGTGGAGAGGAAAAACTCCCTTTGAACA